AAAAATTAGAAAAATTAGAAAAATTAAAAAATAAAATAAAAAAATAATAATAATTAGATTAGATTAGGTAGAAAGGTAGAAAGGAAAAAGGTAGATTATATTACTTATTAAGATTAAAGCTTATCCTTTTTTTTCTTACTAGGAAATATTCTTCCTTTTTTATAATAACTAAAAGAAGAATAATCTATCCTTTTAATTAGAGTTTAAATACTATTTAAATACTAATTAAAACTTATATAAGATAGTCTTATTTCTATAAGTTTACTTAGAATCTTAATTTAGGTTTAACTTACTTATAGGTCTTATTAATCTTATAACTAATTTATCTTTAAGGTAACTTTAGTTACCTCTTTCGCCTTATAGTATTAAGGTATATAAGATACTTATATAGAAGGAGTAGAAGGTAATTAGAAGGTCTATTAAATATAAGTTATAAGTAGGAAAAGTAGATTAAATAGGTAATATAAGTAGGAAGAAGAATTATAGTATTAATAGCTATAAAGATTATATATAAATTATATAGAGGGATTACTATACTTTATAGCTAGAGGCTTTAGAGACCTTTCTCTAGCTTCTTAATAACTACTAAATACTTTAATATAGGGCTAATATAGGTATTTCGGAGTATCTAAAAGGAGACATTCTAAAGTATCCAAAGAGGCGTTAGAGGTATTAAAGGCATTCTAAAGTATCTAGCTAGTTATATAACTCCCTTATAACTTATATAATAGTTATCCTTAGTAAGTAAAAGTGGGTCCATTATAAAGGGAAAAATTAGGGCAATTTTATAGTATATATAATTACGCCTTTATCCCTTATATATAGCTAATTAGTTATCCTATATAATTTACACTTATTATAAATCCTTAGCTACTATATATCTAATACCTATAGTGCACTATATATAGCTCTCTAGATATTAAGGCTCTTTATTATTATAGATATTAAATTAAATTCAATTTAGATTATATACTTAGAGTATTATAAAAAGAAATAAGATAAATAAATTAAATTAAATAAATAAATTAAATTAAAAAAAGAAGTTAATAAATAATAAAAAAATAATAAAAATAAATAAGAAATTATTAGTATTATACTAGTATTATTAATACTAGCTAAGTTTTAATATATATAAGGTAGCTTTTATTATTTTCTATATAGAGTAGTAATAAGGACTAGATAGAGAGATAGACTAGATAGGAGGAATAGTTCTTAAGCTTATTAAGAGCTTTATTAATAACAATATAGGCAGCTATATACTCTATCTCTAGTTATATAACTCCCTTATAACTTATATAATAGTTATCCTTAGTAAGTAAAAGTGGGTCCATTATAAAGGGAAAAATTAGGGCAATTTTATAGTATATATAATTACGCCTTTATCCCTTATATATAGCTAATTAGTTATCCTATATAATTTATACTTATTATAAATCCTTAGCTACTATATATTTAATACCTATAGTATACTATATATAGCTCTCTAGATATTAAGGCTTTTTATTATTATAGATATTAAATTAAATTTAATTTAGATTATATACTTAGAGTATTATAAAAAGAAATAAGATAAATAAATTAAATTAAATAAATAAATTAAATTAAAAAAAGAAGTTAATAAATAATAAAAAATAATAAAAATAAATAAGAAATTATTAGTATTATACTAGTATTATTAATACTAGCTAAGTTTTAATATATATAAGGTAGCTTCTATTATTTTCTATATAGAGTAGTAATAAGGACTAGATAGAGAGATAGACTAGATAGGAGGAATAGTTCTTAAGCTTATTAAGAGCTCTATCGATAACGATATAGGCGGCCGTATGCTCTATCTCTAGGAAATGCACTAGGCCCTGGCGACCCTAAGCGATGTGGGCGAATACCCACCTCGATGAATGTAGATAGGTGCTCTACGGCGCGGCCACATTTCTCTTCAGCCTATCCGACAAGCACTACTGGACGTTAGTGGGACAAAACTACCTATACGTGCGTGGGGGGAAAGAAAACAAAATTGTAGGAATTTGATGAATTTGATGACCTGGACCTTGTATGGTGTTGCTACCACATTGTTGTGCGTAGTGCAATTCAAGGCAAGATGATGATGTATTTGGCTAGTCTGTGGGTGGCTTTGCGTGCCCTAAATATTGTTGTGCGATCGACAGTCCGCTTAGGTGTCGAGCTACGTTGATGTAACAACCGCGCAAGGGGCCTCAAACGGATGGAAATAGATTTTCCCATAGCTCGTATAACGGAGCAAAACAACAAAGGGATGCTGATCAATCTCTATTGGGTGGGAGCTACAGGGTAGCTTTCCTTCACACCTCTAAGTGCTTGTTACAAAGACCCTAAAAAATGATGGAGGCTGTTTAGGGACTGTGCGAAGATGAAGATGATCTATTCGGACTGTGTGCCCTGTGGCCTTATCCAGGCTGGTGCGGGTGCGGACGCGGGTGCGGATGGTGCGGACCATGGTGCGGGTGCGGCCGGGACGCTCGGTCTGCCAAGGCCGCGTCCGCGTGCTCTGCCTCTCGCTTGGCCTCTTGGCGGCATGTCGGGCTTATCTCTCGTCGTGCTATAGCCGTAATACATTAAGGAGTGGTAGCTTAGAACCTAATGGTTTAAAGCTCGTAAGGGGAGAGGAAATAAGCTAGTATAGGAAAAGAAGGAAAGGCGTTTATTTATAAGGGGCATTTTAATAGCACTAGGTATAGAAAACATTAGGTACTATAAATATTATTATAAGTTATTCTCCTTCTATATTTACTTTAAATATACCTATTTATTTTAAATCTAATCTAATAGTAGTTAGGATATATACTCTTTTAAATCCTTAATATAGAGTCTTAGCTATTACTTAGGAAATAATCCTAATAAGTATATCTAGATTTACTATAAGATATAACTAGCTTTAATTAGCTTTCCTTATTAATATTTATAAATAAAGGTACTAAGTAATTACTAAAGTATAATAATATCTAACTAAAACTATTTAAGGGGTTTTAATATAAGGTAAAAGCTATAATAGCCTAATTATAATAATTATTTTATACTACTAACTTATATACTAGTTATTTAACTAGCTTAGCCTTTTCCTTATAATAGTATATTATAACCTAAGATCTTTATAACTTTAGAAGCCTAGCTATCTTTATATTTAAGATTTTTAGTAGTAGTTATATCTAGTCTTTAGTATACTATCTATAGGTAGTTAAACTAGTAAGATATATTAATTTTACTTTATCTAGTTTAAAGAAGGCTAGTTCTTCTAAATAGTAATAAGCTATATATACTAGGATATAGGTATTCTATAGAATATAGGTAGATTACTCTATATAGCTAGATATAGTTATTTAGGGGTTATAGTAAATAGGGGGCTTAGCTAGTAAGCTTAATAGTTATAAAGTAAATATATAATACCTAATAATTTTTTAATTTTTTTAATTTCTATAACTAGGTTATAATAAGTTTTTAATAGAATCTTTAGTTATACTTATCTTTTAAATTATTACTACTAATTTATTAGGGACTATATAAAGATAAAGATAATCTATTTAGACTATATACCCTATACCCTATAGCCTTATCTAGGCTAGGATAGTGGGCCTATGGGCCCGCACCCTATAGAGGTAGTAATAAGGCGCTATTAAACCCGACTATCGTTACGCCTACGCCTAGCACTATGGATACACCTTACCTAAGGGTACCTTAGTAAGTTCGGCTAAGGGTGGCATCCCTTAGATAAGGTAGCCCTATTTCTTTTATATATATACAATATATCTAACCCTAACCCTAACTAACTATTATTATATACTATTAACCCTAAATAACTACTAACCTAAATACCTAACTACTAACCTAACTACTAACCTAACTACTAACCTAACTACTAATATAACTAGATTAGTTATAAACCGATTAGTAATTAGTTATAAACCGATTAGGAACTAGTTATATACTAATTGACCTTTGTATAGTGTATATTAGAAATTAGTGGGGTAACGTTGGCTGAGGGATGCCACCCTCAGCCGAACTCACTGAGGTACCTCAGGTGAGATACTGCCTGCCCAGCACTCCTGGGGCCGCGCCCGTTGTCGCTCCGGTTGCTGACAACTCCCTTGCGCTGACTGACCCGCATCGACCAGAACTTCGGTGCGCTGGTGGTATGTTCACACTCTGTTTCCTTGGTCAACCGCTCATGTTTCGATAGGGAATGATGCAGGCCCAGGCGGCCCGCCAGGAAACCACCAACAGCGCCATTCTGGCGACTTTGCAGCACCTGGTCGCGCCCGCGACGCCCAACCGCTGGGCCATTGAGTACCACGAGTCGAACCGTGGCTCTTCGTCGCGCCGTTAGAAGCTTCAGCTCTTTAAGGCGCTTTCTTCTACTTTTGTAAAGTAGCATATTGAATAGTTGATGTCGGCTCTTGCTTGCTTCATGTAGATCCCCCAGAAAATCCCTACGGGTGTGGAGAAATAGCCGTCGGGTTATCCACCCGTTTGGTGACACATCCATCTCGATAATAATGAGTATGAAGTATACCCTGGAAATTCTACGATCATACTATGACGGCCTCCTAAATACCCCAATCCCCCGCAGTCACCAACTAGCATCCGCCATGCTCACCACCATCGCCGACTCGCTCATCCAAGCCTACGCAACAGCTCCCACCATGAAGCGCCTCCTCGCCACTATCCGTCTAGCTCTCCCGCGCCTCCTCACTCCCCCCTCCCTCGCGGCCGCATCCTGCGCCACCGACACCGACTGCAGCCTGAACGGCCTCTGCGACACCCGCGCCGGCACGTGCCTCTGCGACGCCGGCTGGACGGCCGCCGACTGCGGCGTGCTGGACCTGCGCCCGGCACGGCCCGGCAGCGGCTACAACCGCACCGCGGCGGGCACGTCCTCGTGGGGCGCGCGCATCGTGCCCGACCCGGCGGACCGCACCCTGCACCACCTCTTCGCCGCCGAGTTTGCGCACGGCTGCGGGCTCGACGACTGGGCGCCGTACTCGCGCGTCGTGCGCGCCGAGTCGCGCGCCGGCCCGGCCGGCCCGTACGCGTTTGCGGACGAGGTCGCGGGCACGTTTGCGCATAACCCGACCGTGGTGTACAGCCCGGCCGACGAGGCGTACTTGCTGTACTATATCGGCTGCGCGACGGAGGTGGCGCCGCAGTGCACGGGCCAAAAGTTCACGTGCGGCCCGGGGAACGCGAATAATGGCGAGAGCGGAATCGCGCTCAAGACGAGCAAGGACCTCAGGACATGGACCGATGTGAGACAGGTGTTCCAGGGCAAGGACAGCGGGGACTGGGACGCCGATGTGACGAACCCGTCTGCGTTTCCGCTGCACGAGGCTGGCAACAGCACCAGCGCCATTCTGCTGGCGTACCGCGGGTGCCCATACGACTGCCGCGGCCGGGAGCAGATCAACATTGCCGTGGCGGCTGGCGGCCACCGCGGCCCGTACACGCGGGTGCAGCCGGACCCTCTCTTCCCGCAGGCCAACGAGGACCCCTTTGTGTGGCGGGACAAGCGCGGCCACTGGCACATGCTGACGCACTCGCTGGCCGCCGACGGCGGGTTCGGCGACGGGCCGAGCGTGGGGCGGCACGCGTACGCGCGCGAGTACGCCGGCCCGTGGACGCTCGCGGAGCGGTCGCTGGCGTTTGACACGACGGTGCGGTACGAGGACGGCAGCGCGACGCAGTTCTTTCGACGGGAGCGCCCGCAGCTCCTGTTTGCGGCGGACGGCAGCATGGCGCCGCTGCTGCTAACGACGGGCGTGCAGCCGCGGGGCAGCGCGATGAGCTACACCGTCATTGCGCCGGTCGGCGATGCGGGCGTCAAGGCTCAGGAAGGGGAAACATGATGTAATAAGGAAGGAGCAGATGTGAATATAGTCTATTTTGGTATAATTGCATGTAAAAAAAGGCCTATTGCTTCCGCGCCACCCAAAATTGCGCCTTGTACGCGCTCGTAGTGAGCGCCTTATCGTCGAAGCTATAGACGGCGCGCATGCCGCGCACCGTGCGGCCCGGCATCGTCAGCGGCCCGTACTTTTCGTCCGTGTCCAGGTACGTGAAGCCCATCGTCTCGGTGACGGACACGAGCTCCTCGAGCGAGAGCTGGACGAGCGGGCCGGTGCCGTAGAGCAGCGGGCCGAGGTTGATCCAGTAGCCGCCGGGGCGGAGCAGGGTGGCGATGGTGTCGAGGTACGTCATGAGGTTGCGCGCCGTGTCGATGAAGAAGTACGTTAGTAGCACGTCGTACTGGCTGGCCTCGCGGTGGAAGACGGTGGTGAAGTCGCCCTCGACGAGCAGCACGGCGGCGCGGTCCACGGGCACCTCGGGGAAGCGGATCACGCGCAGCATGTCGTCCTCGGTGACGTGGTGCGACCACGTGTCGGCAAACGGGTGGCACGCCGAGGCGTTGGCGCCAGAAAACGTCTCCAGGAACCGGTAGGCCACGTTCATGTGCGCCGACCACTCGTTGGCCGTCACCTGGAAGCCGCCCAGCCGCGCGACCTCGTGCGCGAGCCGGTTCAGGCCGGAGCCGGGGAGCAGCACGCGCAGCGGCGCGGGGCGCTCCGCGCGGTCCGGGAAGAGCGTCGCGAGCGTGCCGAGGAGCGCGGGGAACGTCTCGGCGCACTCGTTGGCGCCCGACGGCGACCAGTCGCGGACGTAGTGCTTGAGCGCCTGCGACGTCGACGTCTTGTCGGCGCGCTTGCCCGACGAGGCGAGCTCGAAGGCGTGCTTCTTGAGCTCCTGCGGCGGGATCTGGTAGTAGGCGAGCGCATTTTGCACAATCTTGTCGCAGAGCCGCTGGTTGAGGACGAGGTGCTCGTCGACGCGGTCAAACTTGGTCGAGTACTGGATGTGCAGGTCGAGCAGCTGTGCGTGTTAACTGGCCCGTTCGCGCAAGGAAAGAGAAGGGAGGATGGGAGGTTACCGTCTTGTGCTTGCGGCTCACGTGCTTGTATAAGCCGCGGAAACGCTCCAGCTCGACCAGCTGGCGCTCGTAGTAGTTCTGGTAGCCGACGAGAGCGTCGAGGAGGCGGTGACGCGGGTGCGTGGACGACCAGGTGTGGTCGCGCCGCAGCGACAGCATCAGGCGCGCCCGCTCGGCCTCGTGGCGCGATCCCTGGAGCGGTTCATGCGCGCGTTGCAGACTCTCAAGCATGTCAATGGCATCCGCCGCGTCGTGTGTCGTCTGCGACTGGGCGAGGAGGAGGGGGGTTAGCGTGGGCAAACAGAATCTCACGGGTGTAGGGGGGGCATTACCGGAATCTGCTCGGCGAAAATCTCTGTCGACGCGACGGCCGACTTGACGCGGCCCATGGCATCACCGGAAAAGTAGCTCCCAAAGATGCCGAGCAAAAAGGTGGCGAGCGCGCCGACGACGAGCACGTTGAACGGCAGCGCGACCATCATGACGAGGGAAATGAGCACCCCGCCAAAGGCCACAGGTAAGAGATTGTCGCGCTGCACCATGGCAAGAATGGGCCGGGGAGAGCGAGAAGAGCTGGATTGAAGCGTATCGAGTTGTTTTGTATTGCTGCCAAGCCGTGTGGCGCTGCTTTGGGGGGACCTTGATGGTGCAGGAAAAATCGGTTCTGCGCTGAAGCCAAAGAAAAAATCTCGGCGGGTCGGCGGCAGAATATGCAGCAGAGGACAGGGTATGTATGGGCTGAGAGAAATTTAGAAAATATCAGAGAAATAAGGTAGTATAATGAAGACTTAAAATCTAAATTTTGTTTAGCAAGTCCGATGGTGATTTTGCAATGGGATAGGTGGCACGTACACACTGTCTGGCAGGACAGTAGACTGATCGAGCTGACGAGGATGCCTTACACAAGCCCTCTACTTTTGTGGGCAGCGAGGATTATCTGGATAATATCGTTGGCAATAATACGACAGAAACAGGGATATAGTTGTCGAACTGACTTTACTCAATTGATCAAGCAGATCACTGGCGTATGGTGCGAAACGGTCTCATTCAAACATTCAAATCTAATTCAATCAAATATTCAACTATAAACTACCAAAAAGAAATAATCAAAAGGAAATAATCAAACACTAACAATCCGTTCTTGCGAATCCAGTTCTAAGCCCATCTAGTCGTATCCATCACTCATATCCATACACGTCAGCACCCTACTCGCCGCGGCGCGGGTACTGATAGGCTGAGCGCAGCCAGCGCGGCAGCGACGCAAGACCAGCAGCGTCGTCGCGTGCCCTGTTGCTCCCAGCCTCGCGTCCCTAGGCGTCGGCCTTGTCCGCATCGAAGCCCTTGGTGCCCCACGGCGGCTGGCCCTCGGGGCCCGCGTTGCCGCCGGCGGCCAGGCTCTTGACACCCCATGGAGGCTGTCCTTCAGGACCTGCGTTACCGGCCGCCAAGTTCTTGACGCCCCATGGGGGCTGGCCTTCTGGGCCTGCGTTGCCGCCGGCTAGGCTCTTGACGCCCCAGGGAGGCTGTCCCTCAGGGCCGACGGTGCCGGGCTTGCGACGCTCCGGGCCTGCGTTGTCGGTGCCGTTGCGCGGCAGGTTTTTGGCAGGGTCGGACTCGTCGTCAGGGCCAGGCTGTTTGGGCCAGCCGCACTGGACTGTCACTGGGGCGTCGACATCCTCGGCGGGCGTTGTCTCGTTGCGCGCCTTGGGCTCGTGCGGGCCGTCCATGTGCGGCCAGCCAGACTTGGCCGTTACGACGCTCTTGTCGTGGGGGCCGTCGAGGTGCGGCCAGCCGGAGCTGCCATCGCCGGCCGCTGAGAAATGGCCTTCCTCGTCGGTCTCTCCAACGTGTGTCTTCTGCTCGTGCGGGCCGTCCATGTGCGGCCAGCCAGAGCTGCCGTCGCCGTCGCCGGCCGCCGAGACACTCTTGTCTTCGGGTCCGTCGAGGTTCGGCCATCCGGAGCTGCCATCGCCAGCCGCGGAGAGCTCCTCGCTCTTCTCAGCCTGACGGTTCTGCCCGTGCGGGCCGTCCATGTGCGGCCAACCAGATTTGGCCGTCACGACGCTCTTGTCGTGGGGGCTGTCCATGTGCGGCCATCCAGACTTGGCCGTCACGACGCTCTTGTCGTGGGGACCGTCGAGGTTCGGCCAGCCGGAGCTGCCGTCACCCGCGACAGCGAAACCCTTGGTGCCCCAGGGCGGCTGGCCCTCGGGGCCGGGAGCAGCAAGTGTCTTGTTCGACGCGGGAGGCTCTCCCCCGTGCGGCCAGCCGCACTGGACGGAGACGGGGAGCGAGTCGTCGGCAGCAGGCTCCGGCGTGGAGGGCTCCTCGTCGCTGACGGTGCCGGAGCTCATGCCAGTAGAGGCCATGGTAGGTGTGCTGAGGAGGTCCTTGGCATTGAGGTGGTCGTCTGGGGAGACGAGAGTTGCGGTGCTCTCGTCAAGAGGTCTGTTGGTGGTAGCCATGTGTGGTGGTTGTTCGGTGTAGTTGTAGTTTCTGATGGAGTTTCTGATGTAGTAGTTGCTGTGATGTCTTTGTTTCTTTGTTCGTGAGGAATCATAAACAGAAACCTGAGGAGCAAGCAATGCTTTTATATCTTCTTGACGTTCCGCTCCGAGGTCTAGCCTCGCCGTCCAGCCTTATGACACCGCTAGCTCAAGCACAGCCCGTGTTGCAAGACAAGACTGTATTAGGAAACGCCTAGGGCGTACCCTCGCGTGCCCCCCTCGACAAACGGTCCCCTCGCAAATGTGCCGGGTCACACCCAGAAAACCGTCTACAGTCATCGCATCGCGGCGCCCGGGGCAAGCAGGGGGCCCGGTGAGCCCGGGACCGCTGAGGGGGAGTCATTGCAGGCCAAGACCAATGAGATGTTGTACTAGCCGGCGAATTGAGTAGGCACAATTGCTGGCTGGCGTTGCGAAACAGCCTCGCATGAGCTAGCGTCCGAGGGCTCGGGGAGCCAATGGGAGGGGGCAGAACAAGACCCTGTCTATACGGGACACGATAGGGCGAATAAGCCGTCAGACTTGTCGTACACGCATGAGCAATTCGGACTACGCCTTGTGGTTGGCAATAAAAAAAACCAGACGAAATTGGGCTTGGTCCCTCTTCAGCTGGCGGGGAGACGCTGCGCAGCCTCGCATGACGCCCGCGGACCAGGTCGGAAGCGGCAAGGCACCGTGTCGATCGGGCCCGGCCCGAATCCGGACACTTTTGTTCTCGTTTCCTGCCAAAGTTTGCGTGTTTGAAATTCAATGGACAGGAGAGCAACGCCTGACACATCTTCTTCACACCCTTTCGGGGACATTTTCGTCGTCGGTTCAACACGAGCGCAACGAGGCGGCCGGCGTGGGAGATGACGGGGGATTTTTTTCATGTTTCTTCCTTCCTTCGTCGAATGGTTACACAGGCCAAGCGCAGCCGCGGCTGATGGGTTGTCCTGCAGCAATACAATGCATGCAATGCACAGCAGCATTGTGGTGTTTGCATGCAGAAGCCATTACAGAAGGATGGGCAGTCAGCACGCCGCAATATCAACACACACCTGCCGAGGCAATTTGCCAAATTCGCCAATCGGAGAGAAAAGAAGAGAAAAAAAAAAGAAAAAAAAAGGCAACCGCCCAGAGACTCGGCAGCCCCCTGGTTCGCCCCGGGGCCTCCTCTCGAGCACGAGGCCAGCAGACCATGTACGCTGACCTGACGGGTTGCTTGGCGGAGGCCTGAGCTGGGCAAAATACGGCAAGTACCGACAACGCTGTCAAATAAAACAAACGATTTGCCCGACCAACCCGACATGGGCAATGCCGCTGGCGGCGACCGCGCTTTGTGGCCACGGTTCGGAGACGGCCGGGCGGGTGCGCATGATGCGGGCAGGCTCTGCACAATTTTGGCCGTCTGCGTACAAGTGTGAGTGGCTCGCAAAGATGACGCTGCACCCTTTTGTTTTCTGTCGGAGAACAAGCAGCGATGAATGCGACATGGGATTGTTGCATTGCAGGAGGCATCGGCAAGCGCCAGGCACCACATTGAGGGACAAGTTCAGCTGGTATCAACTCTTTCCGGCATCTCACAACCGCCATGATGCAGCAGTTGGGTTCCTGCATCGTCAAAAGTTCCTGCGCTGCTGCTTCGCTCAGAATTTTTTTTTTTCATCGTGCCGTTATCCGACCCCTTTTGCCTTGGCGATTGCTGGTGTCGCATCAGCCATCGGAGACAGCCGTCATGGCACGCAGTAGAGGAAACCGTCTAGGTACGTGGTAGAACATGGCGATGTGAGCCACCGTCTATATTACAGCGCATTATTAAAAAGATGGTGATGACACTACACTCGCTCCCTCGTTTTAAGCATAACAGCATTCTCATGCAACTAGTCCGCTACTAGCGACTCAGCCTCGCCCAGAATGGATGCCTGCTGTCGACCATTGATGTCGTTGCTTGTGCCCTGAACGAGTAGATTTCCACAACTGTATTAAACTGTTCCATTGAAAAGGAACTAGCCAACGTCATCTTGTCGAAAGCCCACTCCCGAGTATTATTTTTGTGCAGGCCCGACACAGAATGGATGCTTGCTCTCGGCGAATGACGATCCTGGTTACAAGGCGCGAGATTGGTCGTAAAATCAGGACCATCGCCATGGTCGGCCAACAGCAAATGATATTCCATTCGCTCGGGGCTGTACATTCCGTCACAGACTAGCGCTCAATCGTCCTATCCATTTTCGTCGCGCAACGGATGGCATACGTGCATTGCGTAGGTCTACCAGTTGGCTGTGTGCCTCGGCGCGAAATACGCGTCAATAGAATATGTCTTCATCGTGAGGACGTGTCCGCACTCTCTCAACAATTGCTGTGCCCTATCCCAAGCTCTGAAATTCTTATGCGGGCATAGAACTCCTTTCGTCTCCCTTTTCCATCCTCAAGGCACATCAGCCAGCCAAAGACGTAGCCCTCGAGATGTGCAATGATGAATGATGACCGAAAATTGGTCAAGGAATATTTGTCCTTTTATACCCGACTTAAATGGGTGACCGACCGTGCTACAACTTTGCACTGACAGCGAGAGCCCTGCAGAGTCCTCCAAACTGACCCCTCACCAACCGAGTGCAATCACATGTCGGCATCAAAAAATGCGCGGAGAACGGGACTTGCTGACTTGCAGTGGGAACATCATATCTAGATATAAATGGGCTGATCAAGTACATCTACCAGGAATAAAATATCACCAAGACCAAGGTACCATCACTCGTGCTGCATCCTGCTGGTCGGTCCCACGCCCACTGCGACTTGCATGTGGCATCATCACAATTGACCGGATCTACCCGTTGCAGCTCCGAGTGAGTATTGGTATTCCGACGCTCGTGATTGGTGCATCTTGCCTGCATATATGTCGATGATGATGAGATGATATCGGGACACGTCGTATAACTCGCCACGGTAGCTGTTTGCACATGCTGAGAGCGGCATTGTTGCTCCGGAGGAATTTCTCTTAAATAGACGCGACTGCACGCTGCTTCAGCACGTCTGCAAACGTCCAACTAGTCCCTTTTCTTCAGATACCCATCTCCGCTATGCCAACACACAAGGACTCCCCAGGCGACAGAAGCTCCAGCGAGGATGGAGACTCCGAGGACGTGGTGACGTCTATTCCCCAGGTCCCAGTGACCGTCCAACGACCGCCCTTCATCCAGTCCGACGAGGACGAAAGACTACCTAATGCAGGTGCGTGTGAAAATATGTCCGGGTATCATTCGCAGCAGGAAACAAACCGGTCCATAGGAACAGCCAGAGCCAACACCGCTCCCTCGTACGACCACCCCAAAGGCACCACGATTGACGACTGGAGCAAACGCCACAAACACCAAACCGTGAGTCGCCATTCCGTCCGCGCGCGATAAGACACTATTCACCGTCACCAGGTTCTACAGCAGCACTGCGAATTTTTCGACCGAGTAAGCCAGAGACACCATGTCAAGCCCGGCACCCACTGACTGCCAGCGCAGGACAAGGACGGAATCGTCTGGCCGTCGGACACGTACGTTGGGTTTCGCCGGCTCGGCTTCAGCATCTTCTTCTCCGTCATTTCCTTGCTCTTCATCCACGCCAACCTTTCCTACGCGACCGTCCACGGCCGCGTCCCCGACCCGCTGTTCCGCATCTACCTAGACAGCATCCACAAGGCCAAGCACGGCAGCGACAGCAACGCGTACGACACCGAGGGCCGCTTCCGCCCGCAGAGCTTCGAGGACATCTTCTCCAAGTACGCGACCGACAAGGAGAGCCTGACGGCCGGGGACATTGTGAGGCTGCTCAGAGGACAGCGGCTGCTGTCTGATCCCATCGGGTGGGGTGGTGCGGCGTTTGAATGTGAGTGACTTGGAAGTGGTCTCGAGGGCGCGCATCAGGAATAATACACGATGGTGCAAGAGGAAGAATTATGCTGACGCGCACAGGGTTTGCCTTGTACCTCATGATCTCGCCGGCAGATGGGAGGCTGAAGAAGGAAGATGTTCGAATGTTATTCGATGGCAGCTTGTTCTATCACATTGCGGCGCAGCGTCTAAATGAACAGGGTAAGATATAATGGTGTTGACAGATATACCCGGGGAAGACGCTTGGTTCTAGCTACGGAGTCGTGGAAAGGGAGAAGGTTGCGCCATTCAACACGGCTTACATTAATAGAATGTATTTCTAAAAATAAAATTCAACATTTTAATAAATTTTCAACTTATATTTATTATTAAACTATTAAAACTCCTACCCTTATTAGTATTAAATATAAATATAGTATATTAAAGAATACCTATAAAGTTATTATAGGCTTTAACCTTTACCATATATCAGGGAATACATTATTATCTTACCTGAGATGTATCAGAGGGGGGGACGACTGGTCCCAAGACCATGGTGGCAGTCCTGACAAGCTTAAAAAACGAGTCTCTGAACGTGATAGAGATGGGATACTGCTAAGACAACAGCGTCAAAAAAAACTGTGTGCGACAAGGGGCGTAAACAATAGACCTAAGTGTGCGGCCATTTTTTGGTGCGCAGCAGCCAACAAACCTTCAAACCAACACAGGCACACAAGACACAGATGGACAATCAAGCATCACCCGCGTCCGCAACGCAGAATTCAGCCGCCCCGGCCGGCCCCAACGGCAATGGAGATCAGACGAAGAGACAAGCCGAACAAGAGACAGGCGCGACCCCAAAGAGAAGCAGACCTAACCCGGACACGGACGACGAAGCACATCCAGACACGCTCGGGATCACCGGTGGCAGCTCGGTTTGGTCCGCTGCATATCTTCGGTAAGCGGTCGTGTTAGTCAAATACGTCAGCTTAGCTTTATCTAGCTTGGAGAACGCAGGTTCTTCTAGGCAGCGGTGGGCGACATATGCCAGGATGTGCGTATGCGTCCCGACTGGTAACATATACAATATTTATACCAATGTGCAATTATGTGGCAAGTATATACAGGAAAGCACGAGTTTTGTGTGAAGAATGTACTAGAAATGGAAAATGGGGGAGGGGGGGGGGTTTCGAGCACGACGTTGCAAAAAGAGAGGAGCGGCAGAGAGGGCAGGGCGAGAAGCTCTAGGGTAGGGGATGATGGGAGATGAAGAGGGAGAGAGTAACAGAAAGCACCCTGGTTGGTATCTACGGAGAGCGAACCCCGAACAATCGGGGTGCAGTCTGCGGTGTAAGCAGGTTCTCCATCCTTCCGTCATTCATCACAATCATAAAGTCGACTCCTTCGATCGTCTCCTGACGGTGCGCTACTGTGAGAATTGTACAATCCCGGAACTCCTTGTTCAACGCTTGTTGCGCTTGCGATTCCCGCAAGGCGTCGAGATTACTCGTTGCCTCGTCAATCAGGACGAGGTTGCTCCCAGTCTCGCGCCGACGAATGATGGCCCGGGCAATAGCAAACAGCTGCATCTCGCCCTTGGAGTACCCGACATCCGGGAGCATCGCGTCCAGACCACCCTTCTGCACCAACTGGTCCCACAAACCGAGCGAAGTAAGGACCTCCGTCAGTTGAGTGTCTCTCTGTGCTCTCTTTTCGCCATCACCAATCTCTCCCTCGTTGATGGTGAAGGGCAAGAGGTTCTTTCTCACGGTATCGCTGAACTGCACCGGGTCCTGGGTTATTGTGATGATGTGCGACCGAAGAACGTCAGCGTCAACGTTCGCAATATCGACATCGTCGATTTCCACGGTGCCGCTGTAGTACATGAAGCCGAGGAGTGTCAGCAGAATAGAGCTCTTTCCGCTGCCTGTTCGCCCAATGATGCCAACTTTGTCCCGGGCGTCAATAGCAACGCTGAAATCTCGAATAATTGGCGGGACATCATCAGCAGGTCGATACCGAGCGGAAACACCCGTGAAATCAACAGCACCTGAAAACGGCCAGCCGCGCGGCAGCTCAACCGGCTCAGCGGGTCTGTTTTCTCGGGGCGTATCTTTTCTGAACGACTCGAGTCTTGAAAGGGCAGCAACTGACGTTTCAGATCCGATCCAAGCTTCGAGCAAGTAGGTGACCAGTCGCTGGAAGTTCATAATGCTCAAGAATGAAAGTCCCACCGCTGATCCCGAAGTTCCGTGTTTCACCCACACAACAATAGACACCAAGGTAAATGCAACGCATGCAGAAATGAGCCCAAGAACTAATCCCAGCCACTGTTGAATACAGAGCATGAGATAGTATGGCTGTTGCGAATTGTCTAAAAGGTGGTACCCATTTGCTAGATTTTGCTCCCGCCAGCCAAAGGCTTGGATGTGGAGGAGGCCGTCTGCCGTTTCAGTAAAAAATGTGTACAATGGTGCTTTCTCCTCGAGATCCAAGTGACGGATCTGTCTCGAGGTTCGGAGGTAGAAACCTTGGGTCAGAACAACAGCGACCACAATCGCGGGGAGTGCTGCAGTCATGTATGTAGCACTGGACAGAATGATGCCGACAGTGATCAAAGTCGCGAAAAACATGTAGACGGTTCGGAAAAGGTAGAAGGGGAGAATTCGGGCAATGAGATTCGCGTCCTGACTAAAGCGGTTCAAAAGGTCGCCGGTCTTTGTGCTGGTGAGGTAGCCAATCGTCGAGCGCATAGCAACGTCGAGGATCTGTTCATGCAGCGCCACAGCGGCACGCACAGCGAGAATGGTATAGAGTAACCAGTACGTCAGAGCGACGAGAAAACATGCGAACACAGCAGACATTGAGTACCCAATAAAGTACAAGCCTTGAGTTGGACCAAGGTCGGTCCATATTCGCAAATATATCTCCGGAATGAGTTCGCTAACGGCCAGGAGAAAGGCAAGTAGGCTGATCCCAAAACATTTCAACCTCCCAATACTGTCAATAAAGATCACATATAGTCCGAGGTTGCCTTTTTTCTTGCGGGGATCATCCTCGGACTTGACAGAGTTTTTTGGATCGGTAGGCCATGATCTGCTAATGAGGGCTTTTTCCTTCGTCTCGGTTTCTTCGGAGACGCATGGTCTTGCTGAACTCAGGTATCCCTGTATTTTCCCAAGACGATCAGGGCTGCAGTGACCAGCCTGATCCAGAGTGACCAGTCCTTCTTCGTCAATGGTAATCATGGAGTCAACAATGTCCAGAACCTCCGGTAAGTAGGTCGACAGGAGGACGGTCGAGCCAGACCTTCGCAGAGCACCCTCCGGCCCGCATAGCTTAAATAATACGTCTGTTGCAGTCGTTCGGTCGAGGGAGCTGAAGCTGTCGTCGATGATGGTGATATCACAAGATGCAAAGACAGCTCTAGCTAGAGAAACGCGTTGGCGTTGCCCGCCGCTTAGCATGAGGCCATTCGGGCCTACTACATAAGCGTCACCACCAGGCAGTCGTGCCAAATCGTCTCCAAGCTGGCACGTTTCTATTGCGTCTGCATAGCGCTCGGCATCAAATTCTAGGCAACCGATGATGTTGTCGCGGATAGACACGTCCTTGAGCCAAACATTGGGACCGCAGTATGCAATATTGACCTTGTCGGTGTAAACGTAACCGCTGTCGGTTTTGGTTTCGCCTAGAATGCTCCGGAAAAAGGTGGACTTGCCGCAGCCAGTAGGCCCGACCACAGCCGCGACGGAGCCGCGGCCCAAGGTAACAGTGATTTCTGAGAGCAGAGACTCCTCCATCTCAACGGGCCTGATACTGGCGTTGGCGAATTGAATGATGCCCCTCGGGCTATGGGTCGGCTGGCGCGGTCTCATCACCTCGGAACCGTAGTGCGTTGGCAGAGGCTCGTACTCCTGCAGGCTGGCGGAAGGGTCCCATTTCACCCGCGAATCTTTGCGCTCTTCTAGAAGAAGGAATTTCTGAATTCGGCCAAAGCATGCAGTCATGCTTGCAACATCCGTGTACGCGCTCAGGGCCCTGGCTGTAGGGGCCTGAATAAGGCTCACAACAGCAAGCGTCGGGAATACCTGCGACGCAGACATTTTCCCGCCGAATCCTTGCCAAAAAAAGGCAGCAGCAATAACGACGACGGGTGTTCCAACGTCAGCAAACTGCTGTAGCATATTCACAATCGCCATATAGAAACGGAAGGGTTTCGAGGTCTCCATTTCTTCAATTCGAAGCTTGTGGATTTGATCACGCATGGTAGGACCAAGTCCCAGCATCTTGACAGCCGGAAGTTGTTTAAGCACCTCTGCAGTCCGTGTCACTCTCTTCTCAATGCTCTTGTTCCAATTAGCCGCCGCAGGACCAGTGACACGGCTCAGCAGGTAGGAGCAAACATTAGTGCCTAAAACAGGCAACAGTACAAAGAAGCAAGACGTGCCGATAAATCGCGAAAGAAGGAACACACCAAATGCAACTTCAAAGGCGGTCAAAGGAATGTCAATGAAGGTGGTCAGGCCTCTGACCAGCTCTTCCACATCGGCGCTCATGTGTGTCAGCACTGCGGCCTTCTTAGCATCGCGCTCGCTGAGATGATGTGTTTTCTCCATCAGTTGGGCAACAACGCCGCCGCGAACCTTTGTGATGAGGCGATTGGTTCGGTGCGCTGTTGACGTTCTCGACAAAGTGAGGACGACGTAGAGAAGAAGTGTGCCAGCTTGCGAGCCACCCCTCTCTCCAGGAGAGACTGAATGTCCCTCTCCCCGCTCATCGAGCTCGGCGATGCGAGTCACTTGCTGGATGAGAAAGGGCTGAACAAAGCTGAGCACAATGTTGAGCAATCGAGGCCATAGAAGCAGGAGAATGTCCCATTTCCAGGCCCAGAAGCACGCACCAAGTAGTCGAAATCGTGATTGGGCGATGCTTTCGCGATTCCATTGCTCGTTCAATCGGCTGTGTAAGCTTCTGGAAGCCAGTTCTTGGCCAAGCTTGTCCATGTTTTCACGGCGTACCGTCTCGTAGAAGCCGGTCAAGAAAATTGGGTTCAGGAACCACAAGAAGGTTCTGCTCAGGAAACCACTAGCGGCCTCTTGCCCAGTCATGTCTCGGAGCTCATCATCAATGATGAGAGGCCTTTTAGATTTCTCTTGGAGGGTCACGAGACAGAGGCGCAAACACGCAGTAGCGACGGCAATGCCTCCAAGCGCGTCGAGTCCAGATCGTAGGAAAAACGACCGACTTTTTGTAATATCCACAGCGAAAGTAAATAGGAGGTACAGAGCAAGGGCGGAGGAGGAGCGAACAGAGTGCTTATGCCCTACATATACCATGATGGCGACGTTGATAGTAGCAACTAGCTCAAGCGAGGTCGCCGGCATAGCAGTGTCGGTCTGGTCGGTGGAGGCATGTTTGTGAAAGCCTACAGCAGCAGCCTGCAAGGCTACGAGGCCAGCAGCGAGAGTCTAGTGGAAAGATGTTCGTCAGATAGTTTTCATTGAGAGCGGATTGGCTGCGAGTGGCTTACCAGCTTGATCCAGAGCAAGGAGGTTGTTCGAATGCAAACGGGCTCCAGTCGGTAGCGGTTGGCGAAGACGAGGAAGAGAATGATGCCAAAGATCGATGGGATGATCTCCAGAATGACTTGTTCGAATTTCAGAGAGAAATCGAAAATGTCAAGGAGAGGGTCCCAGAAGTTGCGGTCGGCGGCAAGGGTGGACATGTTGATTGTGCCACGGGCCAACGCCTTTCTTCCCCAGTGCAAACGGCCACGTCCCAGCTAGCAATGGCAGCACAGTAAGGAACAAGAGCAGCGTAAATGGCAGACGGTACAAAGGCAAAGGTCTATTCTGTGCCAATGCTTGGAAATGTACACAGTTTGCTTTGTGTTGAGAGACATTCAGGGAATAGGAAAATGCAGACATGTACCAGTATCATCTCCAGCCTGCAGAAAGTAGGCCGACCTCGCTAGTTAGCAGACGGAGAGCAGCGGCGGCCCACAACGAGACAACGTCGGCCAGCCTTTTCGTCAGCCTTCGACGCGCCCACTTCAATACCATAACGACATTTTTTAAGTCGCGTAGATATTGGATTTTACGGCAAACCGACCAGTCTGTGGCGCGGGCTGCAACGGTCAACAGTGGAGGCGAGGACTCTCTTGTGGGTGTTGCATCGAGGGAGGGACTGGGAATGATGGCGCAATATTATCTGCGCTGGACTAAACAAAAGTTCCTTGGGCTGATCAATCACATGCTGCTACAAATGCACTCTGCGCCAGTAATATGATCGAGCAATCCTGCCCCCTTGCCTGTTTGCTCTATACATGCAGTAGGCGAAATATTAGCTGGGTCGATATCCGGCGGGCCGCCTCACCCGTCCGTGGCATGACTGGCCAGCCACAGAGGTTTCCCCGCTCGAATCAGGCTGTATAAGAACAAATGGTGTGACCCGTTTTCTCTCCAAATAGAACAAAGGATGCACTAAAAGCGCAAAAGGACCCCACGGGGCTACGGCCCGTGATGGTGGCTTTTCCAATGGTCGTCGCGCGGGCACAACACCGCCATGAGTCCAGTGCTCGCGGACAAGCCCAGTCGCAATGACGAGTATTGCGCTGGATCTCTCCGTGGTGAAATAGGGTGAACATAATGTAGTATTCCTTATCGGACTATATTCATCTGTTGACAATGCACGCTGGCCAAGGCAAGCCACTAATATCCAGCATACGAGACTCAGCCAGGCTGCAGGAAAACGAGAGAGCGGACCGCCCTGCAGCAGAGTGACAAATAATCACCAACGAACAAGGTCCAGCTTCTCCATCTTTGCCACGCTAGGATTTAACTGCATAGGTAGGTATGTGGCTGCCGTCCTGCGCCATTCCCTCTTCGCTCTTCGGCTGGGCGAAAACCATGTCCCCGCCCTCTCGCTCGCTCTGATGCCCGCTTGAAAAGCACGGCGAGGGGAAAATTCTAGCTTCATCATCGCATCTACCTTTTATCCAACTATTCACCCTTGGAATCGACCGCTCTGCAAAATATGATGGCTTCAAAGAACTCAGTAAGCGCAAGGCAGCTCGTCGTCCTGCTGCTACTGGACATTGGTCTGCTGTGCCACAGCGCCCAGTGTGCGCCGGTCCGTACGTACTTTCCTTTACCCGTTCTTCACTTTTTCCTTTTTTTTTCTTTTGGCCTCCAGCTTACTCTGACTATTTAGATTCGCTTGCCGACAGGGCACGCATATCTTCAACTTCGGCAACTCCCTTGACCGGCGTCCCTGCGCTCTTGTTTTACACGAAGAATGATCTAAGTGGCTTCAGTGACAAGGATGTCCTCGGTGCTCGCAAATAGCCCTAGCTGAGAGAATGCTTTGCATATAGAGGCGGCGAGCCGGAGTCGGGACGCTTACGCCAGTTTTCCGCATTTATCTCGTCCTCGCCGCCGACCAACCCGCCGCCGAAAGTGTGCCACTGCAACATATGTATGCAGTGGCCATTCTCCGGTCGACGTCGAGCACGAGATAAGTGCAGAAAACGGGCTTAAGAGTCCTGACTCTTTGTTCTCGTGCGCGGTATATACATGAGCGCGGCGCTGAATTATTGGCAATAAAATGGTCGCTGGAATTTCCGAGCTCTCAGTTCAACAGCTAAAGGGTGGGAACTGCTCTGGAGAGCGTGTCACGCAATATAGTATCTAGCACACAATATAGTATCTAGTACTTGACGCTAAATGCCTGCCAGTAGCCGGGCTCCTTTCCAGATGAGGGCGACCCGCTGCCGTTACCGGCACCCCAGAACTTGTTTGTGTCCTTTTCGAACAGAGTGTACCCCTTGCCCGAGGTGTACCCAATGGTAAATACAGCCGCCTTATCTTTGCTACCGCAGAGGATTCCACCGGCGCAGATGTACTCTCCGCAGGCCACGTTGCTAATAGTAAAATCGCTGCCGCCGAGCTCGACGACATGGACGACCCAGCGCTGGGCCTTCTTCTCATGCTTCGCCGTGGCGGCCTGCAGGACGGGCTTCTTGTTGCCGCCGCACTTCATGGCTGTCAGCGCCTGACCATTGCTCTCAAACGTCAGGTACCGGCCCTCGGTGAGCTTGCCGCGGACGGGCTTGAAGCCTTCTCCGACAACCGTGGTCATATCCTGGATGGCACCGGGACCCGTGTACGGTGCGGGAGGCTGATGCTCCGTGTGACTGGCCCGGCAGTACGACGCGCCGTCCCACTGGCCCTTGGTATTCTTATGCGGCTCGGGCGTGTCCGGCAACTCCACGACATCAAAGTCCGGATTCTGAAAGTCAAACGCGTTGACGAGGTCGCCCATGTTTTCGCGGCGCCAGGGCACCATTTCGTCCGTCTTGACGTCGCGGCCCTTGGCCTCCTGCCACTTCTCCAGGAACAGGATCTGCGAGTTGTGGTCCGAGTGCTCGGTGTACACGCCACCCTTGCGCGTCCAGGGGGAGATGATGTAAAAGGGCACGCGGTAGCCGGGGCCAGTAAAGGTGTAGCCCACCTTGCCGTAGGGGTCCTCGAGCCACTCGCCAGCCGTGCCCTTGGGGGAGCGGAAGGGATCAACGTGGTCGGCCCAGCCGCCGGTTTCATCGTACGAGTAGATGAGGGCCGTCTTGTTGTATTTTGGCGACTTGATGATGGCGTCGGCAATCTTGCGCTGGAGCCAGCCACCGTCCTTGGGCATGTAGGGCGTGTGCTCCGAGAGCACCGTTGGGCCGATAATGTACGACAGCTCAGGCAGAGTACCGTTGGCGGCGCGCTCGTAGAAGGAGTCCATCGAAGAGCCTACCATACCCTTTTTGTAGAGAGGTGACGACTCGGGGGCATCCTGGAACTGGCCGAACCAGGCGTACGGGTTGTCGTCGAAGTTATCCGCGTCCTGGAAGACAGTCCAAGAGACGTTGGCCTTTTCAAACATCTCACCCGTCGTCTTCCACTTGAGCGGGTAGCAGTTGATGCCGCCGGCCTCGCAGCCTGGGGTTTCGTTGTTGTCAATGTATGGGTTGCCGCCTTGGTCAGGCTTCTGAGGGCTTCCCGGGGAGTTGATCGAGCCAGAGATCCAAGTAACTCTGTTGGGGTTTGTAGAGGCAACAACACCTTCCTAAGAATTGTTAGTGAGTATTTCACACCATTTGTGAGTTACATACTTGGTACATATCGCCGACGACCCAGCCGTCCGCAAGAGCCCACTGAATGGGAATGTCCGTTTTCTGAAAGTAACCGATACTATAGACGGTATTGTTCAAGGCCCAGTGGTCGTTGCTGCCATGGTTCCAGGCTGCATGGTTCTCAAACCAACCGTTGCTGCCAGCATACATGCACTGTGTAATGTCATTCCACTGGTCACCAAGGTAATTGAGGTACCAAGGGTTGATGTGGTCCGCTTTGGTGGTCATCGTGGAGTCGACGACCTGGTTCCAGACGGGCTTATCGCCATTCATCTGGAGATTAGCATCAGCAAAGCCACGGACACCAGGCATAGTGCCAAAGTAGTGGTCGAAGGCACGATTCTCTGCATGGTGTTAGCCAGTCACTACACTGAACAAATCAATGGCACTTACCCTGCATAAAAAGGACAACATGGTCAATATCAGCCAGACCACCGGCCTTGGCAGGTTGAGACCAGTACAAGAGGGCCGTGGCGGCCGAGGCAGCGATGCGAATGGTACTCATGATGGTAGGGTAGCACCACGATAAGAGTAGTTGAAACAGCATCTTCGAGGAAAAGGCCGCGACGGAAGCGGCTCATTTAACTGGGATCCCAGAGCGTTACTTTGGTCTGGATTCTGGTCTGGGGTAGCCATCGGAGCGCGCAGAAACGTCATGCTCGGCTCAGGGAGCGCGGTGAAGCGTCGACCTAGTCACTCGGACAGGATAATCTGTGCCGGGCTTTCCATGTCGAGCTGATCCAATCCAATCACTAGGGCCATGCATGTGCACGATGGGAATTGCAGTGCGGGGCAAATGTGAGGGGGCCATGATGATGCACGAGGCCAAGAGATGGATGGTGGGACAAGATTGATCAAAAGGTGTTGAGATGGACGAAGGCAAGGAGGGAGCCGGCTTGGCGGAGCGGGTGGTTGAGGGGATCGAGAGGCGTCCAGTCAGCGCGAAGCCAGTGAAACGCGTTGGATGTCCGAAGATTGCAGTGGATACAGGCTTGCAAGTAGCGCTGCAGTCAGTGGGTAAGCCCTGCGGCCCCTGTAAGTTTTGGTAGAAGTCTGTGTACGCAAACGAGTGAAAACAAGATTATACTCGTTACTGTTAGAGCTTGTCGTTTGTTCTTGAACCAATTGCTAATGCAACACATTCTTCTACCCTGCGTAAAAAACCTCTTGCACGCGTCAACATCACCACGTCCCGGCAGCTCTCGTGGCAGCCCCTGTAATGGGTTGCCGCACCGGGGCTCCTCAGGGGCCGCTCTGCTAAAATAGGCCTGAGTCCGGCCCTTTAGCAGTTCTTTAGCACATTTTGCACCCTTTAGCGGTCTTTAGCGGTCTTTAGCGGCCCCGGAAAGCCCAGGCGTGGGGTTCGCTGCACACGTGCCCCTCTCGGCAGGCTTGGCTGGCTTTCCATCTCCTGTTATCTTGAACCATCCACGTACCTGTTGCCTGTCACGACTAGCAAACGCACCTATACGACATCCCCAATTACAAATGCCGCATCCTCCAACGCCCCCAATGCAACCCAATCCATTTGGATACCGACGGCACCATGACCTCCTCAGGAGTTACCAACGGCCTCGTGCCCCACGACATGTAACCATCTTGATCCGCGCCGTGGCTGTCCAGCGGGCTTGTCTCCCAACTCAACTTCCTACTTGGGTAGCCGCGGTCTAATGGAACTTTCTGCTGTTAGTCTAGCCGCGCTATGAAGATCATGGGCCGGATTGACTCTCACAAACTTCACCGGAGACTCAAATCGTTGACCGGTAGTTCCATTGGTTATCGCAACATAATGCGCGACCGAAATGCTCAAGGAAAAGAGCAAAGAGATGCACCCATGACGCCGGCCAAACGATCAATGACCAGTCTCGTGTCATACTGGCTTGCTGGGCTTGTCTTTCTCAGTGCCGCGACGCTGCTTGTTGGGCCATACATTGGCTTGTGGTCCCAGCATCTTACCGCCAAACAACCCCAAACACGCGATCAGGTCGCTATACCATTACATCCTCACATTCACAGCAGCAGAGGAGCCAAAACCTTGCGATTTGACTGGACCGTGACAACTGGTTTGCGCAGCCCAGACGGCGTCGAAAAACTAGTCTATCTGGTTAATGGTGAGTCAGCTACTCCAAGGCGAACAACCTGTGTTGATATCGATCAGGAGAGTTTCCCGGACCAACCATTGAAGCACGCTCAGGGGATAGACTTATCGTGAACGTCCATAATCGTCTCTCTGATGAAGGCCTATCCATTCACTGGCATGGTCTGCAGATGAGAGGCAACAATACCATGGACGGAGCTGTCGGCGTTACCCAGTGTCCTATCCCTAATGGCAAGGATTTCGTGTACGACTTCAACATTGGATCTGAAGAGCATGGCACATTTTGGTGGCACAGCCACCACAAGGTTCAACGCGGTGATGGCCTGTTCGATGGATTGATAGTTCACCCGCCTCGCCAGCAAGTTCCTCCCGACAATTACGACGACTACGACGACGTGCTTCTCATGGTTGGAGACTGGTTCCACCAACCCCAAACAGATGTCCTTGACTGGTATGCGGGATGGACAAGTCTCGGAGATGAGCCCGTGCCAGATTCCTTGCAGATCAACGGCCGAGGGCGTTTCGACTGTTCGATGGAGATGCCTGCGTTTCCGATCAACTGCACAGACAAGTCAATCACCAACATGACACCTATATTTCGTCGCAAGGCCCCTAGAACGAGGCTACGGCTTGTCAACGTCGGCACAGTCTCCGGTGTCACCCTCATGATAGATGGGGCCGATCTTCAGCCAATCGAGGTGGACGGTGGATGCGCTGTGCATTCGTCTGCCGCTGATGCCATCGGCATCCTCTACCCGGGTGAGCGCACTGACTTGATGCTAGCCTGGAAAGACGATTTTCAAGGCGAAAAATGGTTCAACGTGTACTTGGATGATGAGTCCGTGCTACCAATCGACGTGTCCGGATGAGACTTGCCGCTAACTTCATCCACAGAAATTATTCTCGACCCAATCCTTCGCTCATCGAAGAACAGGCCTTTCCAGCCTTACCGGAAACAGCACTTGCTGCAACATTTCAGCCGCCTAGAGACCTTGCCGCTGTCGCAACACGCATCGATATTTCGGAGCTAGCATCTGAGGCGCCAACCAAGACCCATTTTCCTCCGGCCCAACAGACGATATTGTTTTATCTGAAAACAATGATCAAGTCGCATCTCGGCAACCGGCCACATGGATATGTAAACCACACCACGTGGGAGCCGCAGCCACAACCGCTCCTCTCTCAGAGCCGCCAGGACTGGGACGAAAACCAATTCTTCCCCTACGTGCAGAGCGGATCAGAACCTGTCCACATCGACCTCGTCATCAACAACTTGGATGACGGATCACACCCCGTACATCTGCACGGACACTCATTTTACGTCTTGTCCTCCTTTCGAGCCAAAGGCCGCGGAGGCTGGGGCAGCTACAATCCATATGACCCCAAAAGTGTTTTGCGGCGCCCGCTGAATTTGGAGAACCCGCTTGTCAAGGATACAGTCAGCGTTCCTCGGCGCGGACATGTTGTGCTGCGAGTGGTGGTGGATAACCCTGGGCTTTGGATGCTTCACTGCCATATGATGGTCCACATGGGTACGGGCATGGCAGCGGGATTCCATGTCGGCCCGGCAGAGGACGAGCAGCACTTGCTTGGCATGGACTCGACAGCAGCCGCTCTTTGTGAAGCGCCGTAGCTCTGTCAACCGAGGCGATACACTCCAATCACTGTCACAGCCCGCCTTCGAAACCCGCAGGACAGGAGAAGAGTTGCGAAGCTATTCATCAATAAAGATTTTTTTCTTGGTCAAATCCACAGCCACCCAGTTAACCTTAAAACGCCTCGCGAGGCGGCTTGGTGACAAGACGTCATTAAACTGGACCCGTCTGACCATACCGGTTGTCACATCGAACCGCCGCTTCGATCCCGGCTTGCCATCTACGGTATCCCGTCGGGTCTGGTGCCAAGATCTGTTATTCCCCTTCGTTGGGCGCTGCACAGGCCTCCTACACACAGAGTGTCGGCACACCGGCCTGCCAGACCGGTTGGCCGGTTGGAAGTAACGAGACAAATATTTCCGCTTCTAAATATGGGACACTGGATACTCCGACAAGGCTACTGGCGGCTGCTCACAAAATTCATGGGCCCTACTCCGGCATAGAGGCTCTGTGACCTCAGCCAAGACTGAGCGCGCACCCATTCCTCCACAAGTACACCCGGCCATGGCTGGTCTAATATTTTCATGATTGAATACAAAAAGCCCAATCTGCCGGAATCCATTTCTTCGAGTCTAGTTCTGCGTGTTTCCGAATCGTATTTTCGCAGCTTGTTCACCATGGCCGATATGGAGAAGCGCGCTGACTCTGGCAATGCCAACGACGTGGTCGGGCCTTACAAACCCAGCCTTGTATTGAAAGAGCAAAGCCAAAAAGAAAACACGAGCAGAAGTTTTCTGGATAAATTCGCCCTGCCTGAATGGACGGTCCGCGGCAAGCTGCTCGAGGGTAGGATGCTCAACAACAGCATCGGCATCATCGCATCATGCGGGTTTCTCATGTTTGGCTACGACCAGGGTGTGCTGAGCGCGCTTCTGACGCTGGACGACTTTCAGAAGAATCTGCCTCTGATGACACCGCGCGATCAGGCAAACCCCATCTGCTGGCTCGACAAGGACGCGACTATCCCAAACCCCGACATGTGCACTGGAGATGCGAATACGCAGGCTGCCGGTGTAGCCATCTACCAAATTGGCTGCTTTCTCGGCGCTGTTTTGGTCTTTTTCTACGGCGAATCCTGGGGCCGCAAGTCCTCGACGTTTTGGGGCAGTCTGATTATGATTATCGGTACCATTATGCAGGCCTCGTGTTTTGAGTATGGCCTCTTTGTCGCCGGCCGCGTTGTCGGCGGTGTCGGCAATGGCATGGTAACTTCGAGTGGGTGAAGCAAGAACTTTCATGGTATCATGCGCTGACTCTTGTAGCAATTCCGACTTGGCAGTCCGAGTGCGCCCGCCCACATAAACGAGGCTTCCTCATCATGCTCTCTGGTGCGCTCATCTCGGGCGGCATCATGATCGCGTACTGGATAGACTATGGCTTCTATTTCCTCGAGGGCTCCGTTCGCTGGCGCTTCCCCATTGCTTTCCAGAGCTTCTTCACCCTCATCGTCATGTGGGGGCTCATGTACCTGCCGGAGTCGCCGCGCTGGCTGGCCATGCACGGCCGCATGGATGAAGCCGCCGCGGTGACGGCGCGCCTCCTCGGCCGACCCATCGATCACGCCGACACCCAGCAGGAATTGCAGAGCATCGTCGACGGCATCGCGGCCCAGGGCGCGCAGGGTCAGTTTCGCAATAAGGAGCTGCTCACCGGCGGCCCGTCGCAGAATCTGCGTCGCACGCTCATTGGTGTCGCTGCACAGTTTGGGCAGCAGATTTGTGGCATCAACCTGATAACGTACTACGCGACGTTTTTGTTTGAGAACTCGCTCGGCTTCAGCGCGGAAATGTCCCGTCTTTTGGCCGCGGCCAACGGCACAGAGTACTTTTTGGCCTCGTTGGTTGCGCTGCCTCTTATTGAAAAGACCGGTCGGCGCACTTTGATGCTGTTTGGCGCGTTTGGCATGATGGCATCCATGGCCATTCTTGCTGGCACCGTGTCGACCGGAACAACGCTCCCCAACGGCGCACCGAGGCTCAACACCACCTACGGCGTGACGGCCACAGTCTTTCTCTTCGTCTTCAATACTTTCTTCGCCATTGGTATGGTCCATATCCTACACCCCCCACGCACCCCATCTAACTTCTTGTCTAGGCTGGCTTGGCATGACTTGGCTGTACCCCGCCGAAATCACCAACCTCCGCATCCGCATCCAGGCCAACGCGCTGTCCACCTGTTCCAACTGGCTGTCCAATTTCCTTATCGTCATGATTACGCCGCCGGCGTTTGCCAAGCTCGGGTACCGCACGTACATCATGTTTGCCGTCTTCAACGCCGCCATTATTCCCATGGTGTGGCTCTTCTTCCCGGAACCCAAGGGCCGCAGCCTCGAGGAGCTCGACGTCGTTTTTGCCAGCGCCTACGCGGACAAGGTCAGTCCGGTGCAGCGTGCCAAGGAGATGCGGCATATCGAGGGCCGCGAGCTGGAGACAGAGCTGGAGAAGTACTTTGGCGCGCAAAACACGACGGACCACGCGTAAATGCAGCATTATTTCGATAACTATATACCATTTGTGTTTCTGTCTCGGCAACGTCAAATCTACATCCACGCCACCTTGAGCTGTGAATCATTCTCCTGCGCAAGAGTCTCCCCGTAGATTTCCGGCCTTCTTGCCTTACGATAGCGAAACCCGCCCGCCTTTTCTAGCTTGTCCCTCGTGCACACCGCCACGGCCATGTCCTCGTCCAGCTTCCTACACTCAGCCAGAACGTCCCCAAACGGGTCCAGCACCATGCTGCACCCATTCTTGAGTTGGTCGTCGTCCATGCCAATCGGATTGCTGAAGACGACGTAGATGCCATTGTCGTACGCCCGCGCCGGCAGCCACTTCATCAGCCACGCGCGGCCCTTGAGCCCGTCAAACTCGGCGCGCAGCGTCGTCGGGTCGGCCTCCCTGCTCCGCCACAACGCCGCATCCACAAACCCCGCGCCCGGGCGCGTCGACGGCGTGCACATGGTGACGTGCGGCGTGAACAAGATCTCGGCGCCGCGCAGCGCCGTCGCGCGCACATTCTCCACCACGTTGTTGTCGTAGCAGATGAGCAGGCCCGCCTTCCACCCGAGCAGGTCAAACACGACCAGCTCGTCGCCGGCGCTCAGGTGCGCGCTGATGAACGGGTGCAGCTTGCGGAACCGCGCCACCAGCCCCGCGCCCGACACGCACACGTACGTGTTGTACATCTTGCCCGTCTGCTCGTCGCGCTCAAACAGCCCGGCCAGCACGTGGATGTTGTGCGCCCTGGCGATGCCGATGAGCGCCTGCGTGCTCGCGCCGTCAGGCACTGGCTCGGCCACCGCCCAGAGCGAAGCCCGCGTCAGGCCCGCTGCAAACGTGTATCCGGTCACGCAGCACTCGTGGAAGGCCACGACGTGGCTGCCGGAGGAGGCGGCTGCGGCTGCGAAGCGCGAGATGCTGGCGAGGTTGGCGGCCTTGTCGCCCGATGCGTTTTCGAACTGCACAGTGGCGATGCGCAGGTCGGTGGTTTTGGGGCCCGCCATGATGATGTCTGGCAGTGTTGCTGTTGAATCTATAACAACATCATGTGTAGGCGAGGGCCTTTTTTATAGTTGAATAGGGCTTGGCCGTTCCAATTTTGTGACGGCTAGCTCGGAAGCTCGTATTCAGTCGCGATTCGGCTTTAATGGGTGAGGCTGATATTGAGGTGCGGAGTTTCCGTTTTGGGACAACACGACGGTTCCCACGTGGTAAGCCTAGATTGTTAGTCACAATAGTGTTGTTTCGCCTCGGAAATGTAACAATCCCTTTATACAACTTTTGAGTGTATGTGGTTGTACTACCTAGGCGTGTCGTCTGAGGATCTATGTGGAGTCTGTTTCGAGGCACGAAGCGTGACTAGCTGCACGGAAAGAGAGAACTGTCAGAGAGAAAAGTAAGTAAATTAAGATTAAAAAACGAGAAACAACGTAGCTTTCATTCCAGGCCAGTGAAACCATCAACGCGAGTTGGGAAGTAGGTCCAAGTCGTCCAAGTCCCCATCAAGCCAAAGGGAGTAAACTCCTCATGGTTGTCCTGGGACAGGGCGATGTCGGGAGCACCAGCCTTTGAATAGGCCTTTTTCGGGTCCGGGTTGGCTGGTATTGGAGAAGTTGGGAATCTTAAATTTGATCTCCAAGTTGATGTTGGTGGGCGGCAAAATTGTCGTCCATGACGTCGTCGTCGGAGTCAGTGCTGTAGTTGTGCCAGGCGTCTTCGAAAAATGAATCCTCGACAGCGTTGCTGTTATAGTCGGAATCCTCCACAACGTCTGTCATACTGGAATCCTCCGCAACCTCTGCCACACTGAAAGCCTCCGCAATCCCTGTTATACCCATATCACCAGCGAACGCATCAAAGTCGTGACGCTGTGTGCTTTCGCCACGAGAATCCGGCTGCTGGGCGGGTAGCAGCCGGCGTTTGGTGCCCTTGGGCGGCGTTGTGTCCTTGGTGACGTGCGAGTAACAATGGCGATGCTTCTGCACCACTTTCCCACCTTCAATCTCTTCAACAACTTCCCATGTGTCCACTTCTGTTGTTTTGCTACTCTCGACAATGTCGCGTTGCTGTCCGTCCGACAGGGCCAGCATGAGGAGCCACCATAGAGCTAGGTCTGTCGTTAACTCATCCTCGCCCTTGTTCGACCACGGGATGCGCTTAATGTCCGCCATCAGCTGGTCGGGGTCAAGTTTCTCGTCTTTATTCTTGCTAAGTCCAACCTTGCGGAAGCGGCACACGACCATGGCCTTGTCGGTTAGGATGTACCCGTATCGGAGCCGGAACGACATGCAGGAATTGGCCAGCTGCCGAATCGGACTTCGGTGACGGGCCAAAGCGAAGCCATTTTCGTCGTCAAATTTGACGCTGGATCGGCCGAACCCTGCCATGACGACATGTCTATTGTATCGAATAACATGGTGCGTGGTCCGCAGATTGTGATCGCCTGGGTCGTTATTGGTGCACTGGTGCAAGAGGTTGTAGCTTGTGTTAATGTCTTGGGGCTTCTTGAGGGGATTGAGAGCTCGTTCGAGTAGCGTGTAGTCCCAATGAATCACCTTTTTGATGTCTTTTTCTCGGCGGATCGCAACTCCGTAAAAGAATCTCTGAGGGTCGGGGATTTCTTGGGGGAACTCAGATTCGAGTATATGGCCATAACTATCTTTTAGGTTTTGCAGGGTAAACTCGTCCCAGTTCACTATATTTTGTTCTTCCAGACCTGGCCAACAACTTCTCGAGGCATTAGTAGAGGTTCGCGGCGCCAAATGACAAGGGATATCTGGCTTCGCTTGAGTGAGGGCTTGTTGCAACGTCCTCATGGTTGGTGAAGTCAAGATTTTGAAGGTGTAGAAGAGTAAGTCTTTGAAGTATCGCTCATAATAGGGTGTAGCTCCTTTATACTCGCCAATAGGCAGCACCATATCAGTCCTATCCGATGCTTTTCACTGCTGCGCCGATCCTTGAGCCACACTTTAGGCACCCCTTATCCCCGTGCCACGCCAGACTCTTTCATAATTGACCCGGTACGGCAACCTATATGGATCATTGACGCCCACATATACGGGGGCGCGGAGCACGGGGAAGAGGCGAATCACGTTGTTAGGCAGCACAGCTCGACGTGTCTCGCATGCGCTCCAGGGCGATCGAGGCAGGGGACATTTGAGCAGCAGAACAAGTTGATGCCTATCACGAAGGTACCGTGCTACCTTAGGTCTTTGAAGCAATAGCCCCCACCAGACTTTCTACAATCAGAAAGTTGGATGTCTGTCGTCCGAGTTTTGAGAGTGTTACACGGGCGTCACCAATTAGGTTTCCACAACTGTCGATGCCTCGACGAGGAAGGGAAAAATAGGCAAACAGTAGATTAAAGGGATGAGAAAAAGTAAATAAAAGTTAACGATATATAATTCCACGAGTATAATAACCTTGATAATATAAAAAGAAATAGTTCTAGGAAAAAAAGAGCCCCCAACCTTTGCATTAGCTTTTTGCTCACAACCAGCAACACGTCAAAAACCTATAATCAGCCTAAGTATTAGCAGGAGCTATAATGAAGAGATCCCAACAGAGTTCCAACCACATAGTTGGAGTATGAAAGGGGGTACTTTCACTATTCCGCGTCGTTCTTACCTCAAAATCAACAGCTTTTCAGTCATGAGATACTAGCTCGCCAGCACTTCTTTGTAAACCACCATATGTCCCATCACCACAGCCGGTAAGATACCTAATTACATTGACGTCATAAGCGCTAGACTCAGCATCGTAGTTGCCCATGTTCCAGTCGTAGTTGCCCTTGTTCAGGTCGAACCTCTCAGCATCGTAGTTGCCCATGTTCCAGTCGTAGTTGCCCTTGTTCAAGTCGAACCTCTCAGCATCGTAGTTGCCCATGTTCCAGTCGAAGTTGTCCATGTTCCAGTCGTAGTTGGCCATGTTGCAGTCGGGATAAGCATCGTTGTAACCGCTCATGGGGAAGTTGTGGGGAGCAGCGTTGTTATTGGCCATGTTCCAGTCCGGAGAAGCATCGTTGTAATCGCCCATGGGGAAATTGGGGGGAGCAGCGTTGTTATTGGCCATGGGCACGCCAAGACCAGCAAGGTTCCAGGCATTAGGCATAGTCCCGGAAATACGTACGCTCAATCCGGGACAATGAGCGCTCCAGTCAATATCATAGGCATTAGTTGTAGCGCAGTAGCCAAATGTGTTGCTGTTGGGAGCAGTAGTATTGTGGTTCTGGTTCATGTTGGAATCAGGGGCAACGGTGCCACTATCAGGGTTGGGGGCAGTGGCGTTTGAGTTGGGAACGGGTGTGTTTGATTCGGGCTCGGGGGTAGGGTTATTGAGGTATCCCGAGAGTCTCGTTCCGTTTGGCGAGGCCAAGAGCGCATCAAAGCCGGCGACGTCGGCGTCGCCTGGCCCCCAAAAGGTGTCACTAGCAGGGTTGGCGGCAGTGGCGTTTGAGTTGAGGGCGGGTGTGGTTGACTCAGGCTGGAAGATAACGGCATCAGGGGAATCCGGGTAAGTGTCCCACACAAAGTTTGGCAAGCCCACGCTCGCCTCAAAAGCGGCAGCGTTGCCTGGCTCTGGAGCGCTGTACGGCGGAGGCGGCGTGCGGGAGTCAGGACTGTCAAGCTCATCCTGGCCCTCAACCCGCCCCGCGCCGAAGGTATGCCACTGTGTCTCTGTGTCTCTTATTCGGTCCTCGTCATTCTCGTTGGCGACTACCGCATCCAGCGCGGCCGTCATGCAGAGCCACCACAGTGCGAGATGCGTTGTTAGCTGAGTCTCGCCATGCAGGCTCATCGGAACGGGCGCGATGAGCGCCGCTCTGTCTTCCAAGTCGATGTTCGAGAAGCAGCACGCGACCAGCTCCGTGGTGCACTGGATGTAGCCGAACCGGGTCCCCGCGTCGCGGCAGTGGCGCGCCAGATCCGAGACGGGGTAGCGGGAGACCTTTCTGCCCCTCAGCAGTTCCCGGCCGCTCCAGCCCGCGTGGTAGATTCCCACGACCAGTGGTTGTATGGGCGACCGGTCCAGACTGATCTCATGGCTCGCCTGGACCTTGTCGGTCCCGGGAGGGTGGGAGATGAAGGCGCCGTTGTGCGCCCGGTAGACGTGGCGGGGCTCGACACCGCGGTAGTGCTCGAAGCTCGGCTTGGCAAACTGGAGAGCTTTGGCAAACTGGAAAGTCGGACGAAGAACGTCGTCATTCCAGGCGAATGGGTTCACGATGCCGGAATGGTCGGTCGGGGGGGGGTCGTGTCTGAAGTTGGGGTTGTCCAGCAAGGGTCCATACTCTGTGTTCAGATTTTCCAGGGTAAAATATTCCCATTCGATGATGTTATCTTCTCCGAACTTGTAAAATCTGGAGTTCGCAGTCCTGCTGCTACTCGGGATACTCGGGATTTGGTTCGATGGGGTGGGCTTTTGCCGAGTCAGAGCTTGTCGTATAGTCATGTTTCGTTGCAAAATAAATCTTTGTAAGTGGAAAGAAGACAAGACACCCGATCTCTGGTTTGTGACTGGCCTTAAATATTTTGTGTCAAACATCAGGCAGCATCCTGCATTATAGGCACCCTCCGACATGTGTCCAGGCAGCACACTACCTACATTCGCGTGCAGTCGTAGCCTCCGCGATGTACCACCCCATGCACCGGCTGCGAAACTTTACCTTACAAGACCCGAAACATAACAATAGTCACCATGTGTAACAATGTAGTGGCTGTGCATGGTGTATTGGGCTCTAGAATCCATGGGGGGGTAACGGCGCCCGGCGTGCGGTACAACGCTTTCGGCTGCCCTGCAGTACGCTGGGCAAAGAGTAGCCGGAAAGGCTGAAGGAAATTAACGAAACGAAGTAGCAAGTCACGCATAAAGAGCCGGCAGTTACTGCGTTCTTGTGAACTACCAGCCATACTCTGATAGAACTCCAACCGAGGCAGTTGCTTGTCTAATCGAGCGCCTCACCTCTGTTTTTTTTTTACCAGCTTTCGTCAGGACAACTTGCGTGGCTAGTTTGACGTCAGCTTTCGAGGCATTATTACTAAGCACGGGTGTCAGTTTAAATGGTTGTACGGTATTGTATGATGGGAACTCTCTCGTGGCTGTACATCTCGATCCGGCATTGCTGTCAGATTACATTGTTCGGCCCGAAGGGAAAATAAGACCATCTTCCAACCCCCACCAAAGTGACCTCGAATAGGCTTCGATATCACTCAGATTTTCGGCCTCCCTTTTGCTGCAAAAGTAGTACCACCTAGGTGGCTTGGCCATCAGCCGTATCTTGCGCTTGACTGTGGCCTTCCCATGACCGCGGCATTTCTTGCTCAAGGACTGGGTGACGGTATTGGGGGTTTTGGCGGGTTCGAACAGTGCCTTCAGCCGCCGTGGGTCAACGAGGGTAAAGACCGGCGCCTGTGAGTCCCTCCCTCGCAGACCATATCTGGTTTGACAAGCCACCCCGTGCGGCGGGAGTGCAAGCACTGAGATGGGCTTCTTCTGGCCCTCGTACAGATAATTCCGGTTGGTGACCATGCGGTCAAAGGCGTAGAAGTCGTTGATGCTGCATTGGAAAGTCTCGTACTCTAGAAGCGCTACCATGTCAGGCGTTAGGCGCGGGTTCAGCTCCGGACTCGTGATAAAATGCGGGATGGTAACGGCGATGCTAAAATCACAAAACTTGCCACCAATCAACTGCGTTTCGTTGACATCAATCTGGAGGATTCCAAGTTGCTGAAATTTGATGATGTCGCGCAGAAGCCTCCGCATGTCGCTGTCAGTCAGGTCCTCCACACCAAGGCCGAATTCCTTGACGATGCCACGGATGGGTGGGATTTTGCCGTCTGCACCCGGAAAGCGTTCGCGCAGGTTGGCGGTTGTATAAGAGTCGCCGTTGCCTTTGAATCTAAGATCCATGTCTTTGAACTTGTCCCTCATGGCTCGCTCGTTCTTCTCGTCTAGCAGCAAGTAGCCAAAACAGCGGACGGCGAGGTCTTCATAGCCCGATTCTCGGAGGCGGCCAAAGGCGCGACATTCGGCGCTAAAAGGCTCGGCATAGTGATAAAATGGCTTTAATAGTTCTGCGTCTTCAATAAGGTCTCCTCTTTCCTCGGCGGGGGATGGCCAATCTTCGTCAAAGATAAATCTGAACTGCACATGACGCAAGTTAGTCGACGCCTGTTGCGCCTTTAACTTGGTGCATAGCGCTTACGAGTTTCAGCGCGTATATCTTGCCGAGTAATCGAACTTTGAAGACATGTGCATGCGCGCCGTCTCCAAGGTATTCGAGGAACTCAATGTCCTGCCAACCCTTGAAGTCGAATGGCGGCAACGTCGGGCCTGGGCAAAGGGGGAGTGGGGTCAAGTCGGCGGCCGACTTGGGCCATTCTGGATACATGTCGAGAGGGAATTGAGACCTGACGTTGTCGAGGGAATGGGGAGTGTCGCTGCCACGAGGTAAGACACGTTGCTTCGAAGAGACTGTCGAATGAGGGGATTGGGGAGCTGCAAGAGCAGCGGCGGCACGATATAAGGGACCATTGTATCCGGCGGTCTGAGGCTGGGCTTCTTCATACGGGCGGCTATTTTTAGTGACACTTCTGCGCGTCGTGCAGCAAGGCTGGGATGAAAGTGGCAGCAGAGGCGAGAAGCTGTGATTGTTTCCCAGCAAGTGACTGTGGCACAGGTCGCGGAAGCCACAGTCACCAGCCACTCGACGTACTGGGGGAGCCTCTCGGTAAAAGTCGACTCAACCACACCCAACCGGACTAATAATTATACACGACTGCATATGTAACTATGTAACTGCAGCCTCGCGATAATTGTATAATTATAGGTAATATCCAGGACAGCTGTTTGTTAGCTAATGAAATGAACTTGAGCCTTGTTATATTGCAGGGTTCCTCTCATGTCTTAGGTAAAAGAAGTCTCGGCAAAAAAAGCCAAAAAGCCAAAAAAGGGCCAAGAGAGTAACTAGCCGTCGTTTCAAAGTTCGAACGAAAGAGCAAGGTCGCATTGATTACAAGTGAAGCGAGCCGCCTTGTAATCGTTAGTTAGTGTTGTGTCTTAGGCTCTGAGCAACCTTGTCTTGGATGCGGCTGACAGGACTAACCGCTGACAATACTGTGTGGTGCAGCTTCGCACTGACCCGTAGCAAACAATCCGAGTCAATGAAGGCAAGTAATAACCACCAACGGAGAATGACGCAAGAAACCAATCCCGAGCTACCATCTTGGCAGTGGAAGTTGCCCCTTTCCCCAACGGGCAGGTAGTATGGAAGGGCCCTCTGGCCAAGACCGCGCTGTGCCGTCATGTAAACTATTGTCCATTCAGGCTGGATGGTGCATGTTGGCGGTCGCACATTGTCGCGCATAGATATATAAATAGATGGCCGTCGACCGCAGCGGTACTCCCCCTCTCGTCGGCATCCTTGTTCCTTGACACAGGCGCCAACCACCACAATGAAGGTCTGCCTCGCATTGACCGTGACCCTTGCCGCCGCTGCCCAGCTGCCCTTTCCTGCCACTTCGAGCGGCGACCGTCTGCTCACCTACAATGAGACGACGCCGTCCTCTCGGCTGCGCCCGCGGACCACGCAGGTCACCTGGGTCGCCGCCGGCGGCAAAGACGGGCAGTACATTTCCAGCAACGCGAATGGCGATCTTGTCCGCCAGGACATTGTCACAGGCAACTCGACCGTCTTCCTGCAAAAGGGCCAGATCCCAAGCGACATGAGCAGCTACTGGATCAGCGCCGATGATCGCACAGTCTTGTTTGCCGTCAATGCCACGCAAGAGTACCGGTCCTCGTTCCTGGCTGACTACACCATTCTCGACACGGCCACGGGCCAGTCTCGCCCCCTGCTCGAGGACCAGGCTGGTGACATTCAGTTTGCCCAGTTCTCCCCCACGGGAGACTCGATTGCCTTTATCCGCGGCAACGACTTGTACCTCCGCGACGGCAATGGCACCGTGCACCGCATCACCACGGATGGGGGCCCGGACCAGTTCAATGGCGTACCCGACTGGGTGTACCAGGAGGAGGTGCTCGGCGCCGCCTCGGCGTTTTGGTACTCGCCCGACGGCCAATTCATCGCCTTTCTCAGCCTGAATGAGACAGGGGTCGGCACCTTTACCATTCCCTACTTTATGGACAATCAAAAGTTTGCGCCCGTGTATCCGAAAGAGTTGGAGCTGCGATACCCCAAAGTCGGCACGACGAATCCCCGCGTGAGCCTGCACTTGCTGGACGTCAAGACAAAGAAGCAGCGAAATATTCCTATTAACGCTTTCGGGGACGAGACCATCATTGGCGAGGTCGCATGGGTCACCAAGACGCATCAGAAATTCGTCTATCGTGCTTTCAACCGAGTGCAGGATCTGGAAAAGCACATTACCGTCGACACCACCACTGGCGAGTCCAAAGTTGTTCGTGAACGGGACGGCACAGATGGCTGGTTTGAGAATGAGCAAAATATTCGCTTTGCCGGGAGCTTAAAGGGCAGCTGCAACTCGACCTACTATGTCGACACATCAGACGAGTCCGGGTGGACGCATCTCTACCTCTTTCCCGTCAACGGCGGCAAGCCCATTCAGCTGACTTCTGGTGACTGGGATGTTCGACGGATTGTCAAAGTCGACACGCAGCGACGGCAAGTTGCCTTTTTGGCGTCCAAGCACCACAGCACCGAACTCCACCTCTACAGCGTGTCGTGGGAGACTTTGAAGACGACACCACTCGTCGATGATGCGCGCGCTGCGTATTACGGTGCCTCTTTTTCCACTGGCGGCGGATACTATATTCTCTCGTACCAAGGTCCTGATATTCCATACCAGCAGCTCGTCTCCGCCAACAGCACCACGCCGCTGCGCACTCTTGAGAGCAACGAGGCGCACTACAAGACGACGCAGCAGTACAAGCTGCTGAACACGACTTGGTTCGAGCTGAAGCATCCCGACGGCTTCTCCCTGAATGTTCAACAGACACTGCCGGCCAACTTTGACGCTAGCAAAAAGTACCCAGTGCTGTTCAAGCCGTACGGAGGACCCAACTCGCAGTCTGTCACCAAGAGATATGTCGCCCTCGACTGGGCCGCCTATATCGGATCCGATCCCGAGCTCGAGTACATCACCTACATTGTGGACAACCGCGGCACGGCCGGCAAGGGCAGGAAGTTCCGCTCCTCCGTTGTCAAGCAGCTCGGAACTCTCGAGGCCGAGGACCAGATTTGGGCCGCCCGCGAGCTCGTCTCCCGATTTCCCTACATTAATGCCAACAAATTCGGCATGTGGGGATGGTCTTTCGGCGGTTACCTCACGGCCAAGGTTGTCGAGGCGAACTCGGGCGCTTTCACCTTTGGCCTCATCACGGCGCCCGTGACGGACTGGCGCCTGTACGACTCAGTATACACGGAGCGGTACATGAAGAAGCTTGAGGACAATGAAGCAGGCTACAACCAAACGGCGGTACGCAACCCCGATGGTTTCAGGAACATTGCGGGCGGTGTCGCCATTATGCACGGTACGGGCGACGACAATGTACACTACCAGAATACGGCGGCGCTCGTCGACCTGCTCGTCGGGTCCAAGGTGTCGCCAGCCAAGCTCAAGGTGGTGCCATTTACGGACAGCGCGCACGGCATCAGCTACAACCAGGCGACCCCGTATCTGTACAAGTTCCTGACGGCGCGGCTGTGGGATGAGGTGCAGCGAAAGGACCAAGGGCTGGTGCACCAGTGGAGTAGACGATGGGTGGTGTAGCTGTGTCTTTTATCCTATCACTAATTTATTAATTTAATCAAGTGTAAACCTAGCTATGTGGCAAAGTTCTGACTTGTAGCGATCGCTGTATTCGCTACGTGAATGTAGTGTGTCATCTACTATGTGTACTGCAACCATGGCCGGCGGGCGTTGACCATATAGCAAGACATACGAAAATTTATTAAAATTTACTCGCATTCGTTTACGTCTGTCTTTCTGCCAAAACGTGACATTAGAACTTTCGACGATTGCCACTAGTGTGTGAATATTCACATCATACCAGTCACCCTCCAATATACCAAGTAGTGCTACCTTCAAATTCGGCACATTTATGCCTAGCAAAGACTGAGAATATAATAGTTAGTCTTTCCTAATGGTCGTGTCTGAGCCGCCATGGCATCATGCACTTCCTAGCGGCATTGTTAGACGCCGTCCGGCTGGCACTAGAATGACCTTGCCCAGTCGAGCCAATATCCAGCTAAACTATATTCCAGAGCGAGAAGCAGATTTTTTCTTAAGATGGGCGCTGTCTCCATCTCCATTCTTCGTGCCTTTGTCTTTTCTGATCTGTCTTCCCCGTCTGTCCTTCTCGTCTCGCTTCTAGCAACCAGGTCGCCACTCCGCAGCTTTCAGCCAGCAAAACATCTCTGCTCTCGATATACTCACCAGTACTCGCTACAGTATACATCCAACGACGATTATTTCCCCCTGGTATAATCTATTCGACAGGGTTACCATGTTCTTGTCTAAATGGCTTGCGGCGGCCGCGGTGGCCGTCACGATGGTGCCCGCAGCCGCCGTAGCCGCAACCGGCGATCCCATCCAAATCTACGTCCCCCCGAAGCACGTGCCGGAGGTGCCGCCGATGCCGACGCCCGTTCTGACTTGGCGGTTCCGTGAAAAGGAGACGACATTCGCGTACTACAACATAAGCCAGTCGCACGACAAGAACTGGATTGGCATCTGGTACGCCTACGCGGGCGAGCCGGTCAACGGCACCAAGATGTCGAGCCCCCTCCTCTGGACGTACGCGCCGGGCAAGAACGGCAAGGTGGTGATCCCGACCAAGAGCTTACCGGAGCGCCCGTTCCGGGCCTTCATGATGGCGGCGGACAGCTACTGGCCGGTCGCGGACCCGGTCGACTTCAACACGGCCAGCTGGAGAGATGTGCGGTGGCTCGCGCAAGAGGTGCGACTGCCGGTGGCGCGCGAGGGTGAGTTCTGGACGCACGACGCCGGCAAGATGACCAGTGCCGCCGGCGACGCCGGCAACCGCTACACGATCATGTACTGCACCGGTGACGGCTGGGTGCGGACCACGCCGGACGGCATCCTGTACGGCACGCCGACGCGCCACTCGCGGCGCGACACGCACCTCGCGCTCAAGGTCGAGACGCCGCGCCACGTCAACGTGCACATGGAGCTCAAGGTCGACGTGCGCAAGCCCACGGCGCCGCTGCTCACCAAGCTGCGCGTCGTGACCCTCAACACCTGGGACGGCGGCACCAACGTCGCCAACTACCACGCCAAGCAGCTCTCCATCCTGGCCAAGGTCAACGCCGACATCATCAGCCTGCAGGAGACGCTCGGCATCCACGGCCTGCGCCTCGCCTACGCCCTCGGCTACCACGCCCACCAGACAGCCGACGCGGCCATCTTGTCGCGGTACCCCATCGTCGAGGCCCTCAACGCCACGGCGCACTCAGTCGGCGTGCGCATCGCGCTCGACGGCGACCGCCAGCAGGTCGTGGTCTGGAACGCGCACTTTCCCAGCGACCAGTACGGCCCGTACTCGTTCTGCTTCGACGGCAAGAACGACAGCGCCGTGATTGCGGACGAGGTGGCGACGGGGCGCGCCGGCGAGGCCGCCGCGCTAGCCGCCATTGTGAAGCCGTACGCGCGCCGGAGCGATACGGTGCCTGTGCTCGTCATGGGCGGCTTCGGGTCCCCGTCGCACCTGGACTACACGGCGGGCACGACGGACCTGCACTGCGGCGCGGGCGAGGTGCGCTGGCCGACGTCGTGGGCGCTGACGCAGGCCGGGCTGCGGGACGCGTACCGCGTGGCGCGGCCGGACCCGATCGGCGACACGGGCGTGACGTGGTCGCCGATAGTGCCGACCAACGCGGAGCGCGCGCGCAGGGAGCCGCAGGACCGCATCGACTTTGTGTACTTTGCGGGCGGCAAGTCGCTGCTGCGCGTCGGCGACGCCAAGACGTGGACGTATTGGGGCAAGAGGCCGCTGCCCGCGCCGAACCACGCCCGCAACGACTGGACGTCGGACCACATGGGCGTCGAGGCCTGGTTCTATCTCGACTTGCCGCCGGGCGGCGTCGTGAATGAGACGGCGCTGCAGGAGCAGGACGAGGCGGAGCGGGCTGGCCACCTCCCCGGCAATGGCACCGAAGGGGCGGAGGTGCCGCCGCTGGTGGACGAGGACGATTGGTGACGGGTATTATTGGTCCGCGGCGTGACCAACACGACGGCTGGGAATATATTCTCTACTAATCATGGAGTGGAGATTGATTCATAAACGGCGGGGCGATTTTATTCTTATTTTATTTTCATTTGTTAGGATGTAAGCGAAGCGGAACCAACAGGATGGCCAACTAGGGATATATTCGCTACTAATACATACGTTCAGGAGGCCTGATGAATGGTCATTTTTTTTGAATGTTACTACACCGATTCTCTTATCCCTCGTCATCTGATTCAGTATACGCGAGACGCCGAGAGTGGAATCAGCTTCTTGGCGGCACGGCACGGCGCTTGGTGTGTTGCTCGTCGCGTATGCAACGCTGCAGTGCACACAACACCAGCACGAGCTAACAGAGGAAGACGTCACTCGATACGGCAACATTGCGGCATGAATACACACGATTCATTTTACAGAGCCTCTTGTACATCATTATGCGTGTTGGACGCGCTCTCAGCAGGCCAAGGCCGAGACCCAACCATTTGCTACGCCCAGGTCTTGGCGAGGAAGTCTAAACCCTTTGCTCCTTTTACCCTGCGCAACGGCTTTCGCCCAGCGTCTTGGCGGGCTTGTCAGCGAGGGTTGCCAGCCAAGTTTGAACAGACACGAAAAGTCGCCTGCCGTCCAAGACTCGGCGCCAACGTCGCCAAGGCCGCGTGCGCACGCAAGCTGCGGCGAAAAGCCTTGGCCGCACGCTTGGCCCCGACACGACGGGAGCCTACATATAGAATGGAACGCGCCCTTGTCATTTGAGAGGGGGAGGTCATCCACTGATTGCATCTTTTTTGGACCATGGACGTGCGCTCTGATGGCCCCGACAGCCATGGATCGAACAAGACGAAAGGCGGGCGGCGGACCGACGTGGAATCGCAGCGTTTCTTCTACAGCGACGAGAGCAAGCTGGGTGTGTTTAGCACGGCGTTTCTCATCATCAACAAGATGATTGGCGCAGGCAGTATGTAGCCCTGCCTTGTATTTCTTCTCGCCAGACACGCAGAATGCTCACAACATAGCCAGTCTTTACCGTGCCCGCGACCGTCTTCCGCGCCACCGGCTCCGTGGGCGTCTCCCTCCTCCTGTGGCTCCTCGGCGGCGTGCTCGCGTTGTGCGGACTTTCTGTGTACCTCTCCTTTGGCCTAGCGCTGCCGTACTCGGGCGGAGAGAAGAACTACCTCGAGCGCGTGTACCGCCGCCCGAAGCACCTGACGACGTGCGTGCTCGCCGCGCAAATGGTGCTGCTCGGCTTCTCGGCCGGCAACGCCGTCGCCTGCGGGCAGCTCATCGTGGACGCGTG